AAACATACATTTCTTGATTGATTAGTATTATGATTAATGTATCATCACAGTGACATGCATACATATTTTCATCAGGTGTATATTGATCCAGGTAACATACAGGTAACTCCAAAATTAACCCTTTATTTATGGAGGTAATGTGTTCTTGTTCCACTGCCCATGTCTAGGGATATCTCGTCTAGTTCTTATTTTTAATACTACTCAGTTATTGCTCACCTGTTTCCAGTGAGGCCCAATACACACTGCTCAGCCCAAGGATTGAACCATTATTCACAAACCAATGCTTTAAACCACTAGGCTATTGTCCTGTAGAACAAAAGGTTCCATTCAGAATTCCTTGTAGGTTATCCAGATTGATATTCACCTGATGAAGGTCAGAGGGCACAATGGCCAAAATGTTGTGATAATAACAACAAAGATGAGGACAATAGTGTGAATGTAAATAGTGTAAATAATGAATGAAATATATGAAAGAATTTTATTTTTACAAGTTAAATTTTGTTCAGAAGTCCAAAAAGGAAATAATTCTGTGACTGAAATCAATTATAAATCAATTAAAAATATCAATTTAATAAATCTTTTTCAATTTTCCCCCCTTTTTTTCTAGTACTTTCTTTCAGTTTAAAAATTTTAAAATCAGGACAATGGAAAAAGACTTCATTGAATGCAGTTAAATATTTTACATCAAACACATGAGAAAATAATCAAGAAATAAAAGCAATGAAAAGTATCATTTCACTAGTTTTTAATTGTTTTTTTATATATCTAATGTAGTATAAAAATAAAATTTGTTCTAAGTTTCATAAAATACACTCTTAAATTACTGGTTATATAAGGTTAAAGATAATTTATTTCTAAGCACAAACAATACCAATTTCTAGAATGTCATCCTTTTGATCATATGTAAAAATTCTACCTGCATTATACAGAGAATAATACTGTTGTTGACCTATGACCTTGATAACAACTCATGAGCTAGTGTATGTAAATGTTATTTTTAGTGTTTTAAACAAAAAGTCAGCATTACTTTTACAAAATCCAATTAATTAATCCTTAAATTTACTTTGAAACAAATATCGGACAAATATTGGATTCTTAAATTTGTTTTTTCATCTATAATGGAAGTTTGATGAATTCATGTGATATGAGTGACCGTGCCAATGTTTTAAAAATGTCTAAAAAACGCAGTAATTCAATCAAAATTATTTCTTTTTTGAGCATTTATACAAAAAATAATCTAAGTTGTTAAAATGAAAAAGGAAATAAATAAAATTCTTTTAAAAATATTTCATGCTCGAAAATTGCACTTTACAATATTTGATTATTCAAAAATGTCTTTATTTAATAAAAAAAAAAAAAAATCTTAAAAATACCAACAGGATGAATTTCAAAATCCCACTGACAAAATACAAGTAATTTTTTAATAAAATCCCTCAGAGGAAGAAATGTGTTAGCTAAGATAAGTTTTCCTTTTGTCTTTATTCAATAAATATTATTGAATGTAATTTTTTCTGTATAATCTGAAAGAAAATAATGCTTTATTAAATTATGCAATCACCCCACTTCCAAAAAATATTTTTTGACTTTTATTGAATTACATTTTTGGTAAGATACAGGACGAATTTTAAGTATGTTCACACTTGATATTTCAGAATTTTTTTACTGAAATAAAATCTTTAGGGATTTTCTTTAACTGTAAAAAAATTTGTGAACACTTCCCACCTCCAAGTTAAAAAGTACACACAAAATATCAAAAAGGGATGATGAAACTGAACCCTAAAAAATAAAAATATTTCTGCAAAGTTTTTGAATAAAATAACCAATTATTCAGTATACAATACATTAATGAATATTTCATTCGAATCACATCAATCCCTGTTTTTTTTAAAACGGAGGTGAGCAATTTTTTGCTTTCATTTCAGGAAAAAATGCATCCATTTTTGGTGTACATGGTAATTCATATGAAGAACAGACTTGGCTGGAAAGTTACTTTAATTAGCCAAAGATTTACATAACATGCGAATAAGGATTGTTAATTAGACGTGCAAAAGGAGAGAAAGCTTTTTTAAAAAAAAAACATTAATGAATCGTATTGAATTACTGTAAAAGTTTAGGTTTTTTTTTACTGTAGGCACCTCCACTGAATTTTTGATACCTAAAGTTTAAAATTAATTTAAAAAAAATGAAAAAGCATTCTTGAAGATTTCATTTTAGCTTTAACTGAAAGCTAACTGATTAAATTTACTATATCCATTAAGTAAAATATTCTGGTGTATTTTAAATAAAAATTATATAGATTGGAATCTCAACTTTTCAGTCGATTTAAGAAAAATTTCTTAAAAGCAGCCATTTTCTTAATTTTAAGAAATTTGTAAACAAAATTGATTTTTTAAAATCTTCCAAAAATAAAATATATATTTTTGACACATCATTTGAGTAAAATTAGAAAATTTAAAGTTAAATTAATCTGATTTGAAACAAATATCACTTATAGCACAAAAAATGTAGTATACAAGCATTTCTTAACAACAGGTCTTCTTTTGATTATATCTTTATTGATAAGTTACAATGTGATGACAGCTGGTACGGATGACCAGAATTGACATAAATTTACAAAATCTAAATGAACTCATTTTTTTTTATTTTTAACTACCTAGTAATTTTTACAAATTAACTAGCAATTATCTAATATTTTATTGACTTTTAGTTACGTTTGAAGATACTTTACGAAAAAATAAAATTTAAAATAGCATAAAATTTTCTTAGATTAACTTTAAAATTTAATAACTGACATAAAATCCCATAATAGAAGTAAAAAATCAATAATTTATGAAATGTTACGGTATTTTATTTATTATTAATTTTTATCATAATGGTTATTTTAGTATTAAATTTTTATAGTACTAAAATTTAAAATTTACTTTTAAATTTTGAAGGGATGATTTGTAAAGGCACTAATGATGAAAAAGAACTGAATATGGAAAGTATCTTAAGGATTATGTCATGTATAGCCTCTATAGGCACAAATTGGGAATGCTCTATACTCTAAAAATTTTTTAAAATTCTTTTAAAATATGTTGGCTCAAACGATTATGAACTTTTCAATTTTTGATTCGTAAAATTAATTTTCACTTAACAAAATTACCAAACCGAAAGCAATGAAGAATTTTAAACGATTTTTTAATTGTTTAATTAAAATTTGAAAAAAAAAAACGTAAACAATTCTTCTAAAAATTAATTATTCACCAAAAAAAATTTTCTTCAAAAGACAATGTCCTTAATAAATCTTATTTATCAAAGCAATTAGCTTTTCTAATTCAATAATGTAGCAGATTTTTTTTTTTTTTTTTTTTTCAATTTGGGAACAGCCAACTGTTTTTTTTTTCAAATTGAATCCTGCTTTTAACTAAAACAAAAAAGTCCGTGCCCTAAAAATTTAATTTCTCAAAATTTCATGAAATTAAGTAAGTGGATGGTAACATATGTAAAAAAAAAAAAAAAAAAAAAAAATGAATTGATTTCAGAATGTCTTGAAAGTTTCATTAAAATTCCACAATTATTTGATTTTTGAAAGAATTTCTTAATCAATTAATTTTTCACCGGAAAAAAAGGAAAAAAAAAAAAAAAATAATCTTTATCTTTGGTCCGCTGCTGACGGAAAAAAAAACCCCAAAATTTTTAACGGGCTACAAAGGAATAAAAAATTTCAAAAAATAATAAAAAAATACTTTGGCCTTTCCTCTTAATAATAACATAAACATTTTGAATGATGAACATTTTACTTTTATGATTCCACTTTTATTTTATTTCAAATAAATCAACAACAAAAAAAAAGCAATCATTCTTTTTTAACTTTTTAGTTTTTTATACACGTATTTTTCAAAATTTCTTCAATGTTGTCTAGGTTTTTAGTTTATGCCATAAAAGTCCTATGTTGTACTTGGTTTTAAAAGCAAACAAAAACGCTTTCTTTGTTAAATACACTGTCAGGATTTCATTATCAAATTTAGTTTTTACGAAACGTCGAATTTTTTTTTATTTTACTTAAAAGAGCAGAAAAAAGTACACACCTAAAAATCTTTTATTCACAATTTAAGATTCGTTTGCATTTTTCAGTTTAAGTTTTTAAATTGAAATCTGCATTGATTCCAAGGGTTGTTGCAGGTAACAAACAAAAAAAATCTATCAACAGGTGTACAATTCATTTTGAAATGTGTGCGTAGCCTTTAGGAAAGACATGAATCTACCTTTATTCTCCCTCCAACTTTGGATTAAAAAAGATTAAATAGAAGAGTAGACTAGTCTCTTTAGCTTTGAATGAATGACAGCCAGTCTAAGTGATGCACAACTCTGAATTTAAAACTGTGTAGAAGTCGATGGGAAAGCACTCCATTATTTTATCTTTCTAACAAAGAATGCAAGTCACAGATAAGGAGGGGAGAGAGTTTGTGGAGGGCATAGCCACTTAAGGATCACGGCATTAAAAAAAAAAGGACAATATTGGCGTTTTTTGATAATTTTATTCAATATTTAAATTTGCTTGAAAAATAAAAATAATCTTTTGTTCGAATAAAATTCGAGCGCCAGTTGAAATTCGCGATGTTCATTTATCATTTTATTTTTGTAACTTCTTTTATTTTTAATTGATGACCGGACATTTCAATTTTCCAACAAGTGAAATTTAAAAAAAAAAAATAACAAAACTAGAAAATAAAATCGATCTTTTATATTTAAAATAACATGAAAGGTGATATTAGTTCATGCAATACAAACAATAATCATAATAATAATAAATGCGCTTTCCTTTCTTTGGCAATCACAATCGTGAGTAATGTTTAATTGAATTAATGAATGAGATACAAAAAAGTGTTAGTTTCTCTTCTTTCAAGTGTTTTGATTCGCAGAAATTAACAAGCTGTTAGATAAACAGGAATAGTTATTCAACAAAAGTAATCGTTTGATGTCCAACTATTGTTTCTTTCTGAATCATGCAACCTTACCCTCCGTGTAGCCATCTTGCAATATAAATAGGCTAATTCTGATTTTCTCAAATAGAAGAGCGCTTCATTCTCTAACGCGTTTGGCTTAGATTATTCATCTGCGCTCCTGCTTGAAAGGAGTGTGGCACAAGGCCAAACGTAAAATGAGAGTTTTAAGCTTATTTGGGACCAGAGGTAAAAAAAAAATATTCCACCTACTTTCGGTATTTCCACATTTGGGGACGTCTCTTGTGCCAAGGATTAAAAAACAGTACTCTAAACCCTACCCTGTTGCGTTTGTTAAAGAACAACTTTACCGCCACGGACTTTAAAAAGAAACCCAAAAATGCATTTTAAATCATAAATAATCAAAATGTCTTCTCTGAACCTAAATTTCACTTCTGAAGCCTAAAGTTTATGCCCTAAACGAAAGTTAATCCGAATTAAAAGAAAAATAACTGTATATAAATAAACTTTTTAAACATTTTTAAAGCATTACTACTTTGTTTTCATCACCATTGTATATGAAAAATGTAAACCCCAAATTTGAAATTCCTTTAAAATTCAATATTTGTCATAGAGATGTGTTTCGAAGTCTTTAGTAAATAAGAAGGAGTAACTGGATTTTCTAAAAGTGATGCTTAACTTTTACTTAAAACAATGAAAATAACTTTAATATTTACGCGTGGTAGCCTGCAGGGTCAAGGGACATTGTAGAAAAATTGCAATTCTGCCCTTGTCCGGGAAAGTGCGGGAAAAAGTAGAAATAAAACTTAGAGAAATACGGAAGTCCAGCTGTGCAATAATCAAGAATTTATTTATGTTTAAAAATATTTTTTTTTAGTCTTATATAATGAGTAGTTTAAAAATAAAAAGTTTTATTCTATACTCGTTTATTGAACTTAATGAATAAATCTGAAGGCATTAAGGTACTGCCTAAAAAAAAAAAATACAATGTAAATAAGGTTAAGGTACCTCCATGAGATCGCTAAAAAATCAACATACTGTGATGAAAACATGCTCCAACCAAACGTAATGAAAACATAGTTTTATCATTAAAATCTTTATTATTAAAAAGAAGGATCAAACTATTTTTTTGATTATTTAATTACATTTTTTATTCCTTTTTAGAACATTCAAAATTATGATTACAAAACTTGTTTTTTTTTTTTTTTTGCTAAATAGGTTGTGCTAACTTTTAGCATAGCAAATTTTGGCGTCTTTTTTTGCTCTAACAGACATATTAATTTTGAAATTCTTGCAAAAATCAAATAATTTTTAAACTTTAATGAAATTTCAGGACTTATTCACAAACGAATGAAATTATTTTTGAACTTTTTTTTATAGAAAATCTTGGTAAAAATACTTTTTATTTTACATGTGTTTCTCCCTACTTATTAATTTTATGAAAGCTTGAGAAATTCATCAAGATAATTTTTAGTGACTGTATTAGTTAAAAGCAGAATTCTTTGAAGAATTTAAATCACTGATTTTATTTTACAAAATCGGACCCGGTTTTACTGAAAATCTGTTCTGAATTAAAAAATAAAAAACAATAAAACTAAGACATTATTTAATTAGATAAGCTTTGAATTGCTTTTATGAGTAATATATAGTAAAAACAATATTGTCTGAAAAAAAACAAATTTTCAAGATTTGTTTTCATTTTTTATAATTTAAAATTGAATAATTTATAAAATTTTGGAATCTTTTAAAGTTCAATTTTGATGAAATAATTCTTATGATATTTACTAATCATATATTTTAAAGCTTATTACAACCTGAAGACCCCCCCCCAACTATTTTTAAAAGAATTTTGATTTTTTTTATATATGTATATAGATGCAGAATTTCTGAAGTATGAATGTACAAACCGATAAATCTATTCTTAAAAGGTTATGTGTTTTAAGAGTTGTCTCTCCCTTACGGGGGAAAAAAAAAATAATAAAATTTATTTTCTGCTACACCATACTTAATTATAACATGTCCAGCAGTCAATTTGCTGTCAATAAATTGATTACTACATCAGCAAAACAAGACCCCATAGTTAGGAAATGCTTGTATACACCATTTTATACTATAAGTAAGTAATGTTTGTTTCAAATCAGTTTAATTTAACTGTAAATTTTCCTCAAATAACGTTTCAGGAATGTATATTTTATTTTTGTAAGATTTTTAAATTAAGTTTTGTTTACAAATGTCTAAAAAAAATAGCTGATTTTACTGAAAAAAAAATGCAAGTGCATTCCAATCAATATAATTTCTGTTTGAAATGCACCAAAGTATTTTGCTTACCAGGTAGAATAAATTTAATCCTTTAGCTTTCATTTAAAGCTAAATTGAAAGGTTCAGGGAAACTTTTTCATTTTAAAACTTATGCACACCCAATTTGGAGGTACCTAATGTAAATGTAATTTGTGTTAAATTTAATAATGTGAAAGGAAAAATCTGTCTATATTTCTGAGATGAGGTATTGTAATTATTTACACTATCTAAGAAACAGGCCATTCCCTTAAGATGAAACTGTAGGAACACTGTAAGGCCATAACACAAGGGGAAATAGAAAGATCAAGCATAGCTGACCATATATGGAGGGAAAGAGGAGTTCAACACTCCCTGTGGGATGAGGTTAAAATAATAGACAGAGAACACCACTGGAAAATATGAAAACTTAAGGGATCAGCACATATGCTAGGCCACAAAAATCTCCTAAGCCAGCCAAGCATAGAAATGAATACAATATAGGAACCAGTAATACAGTCTGTTAAAGAAAAACAAAAATAGCAACAAAATTGTAATATGAACTCTGGTAAAAAATGATAACTGAGACATTAGGTTTATAAGTCCCAAAAATTCATACACTGATATCCTCAAGGACACATGACCCAGTGGATAAAATTGTGGTTTGAATCCAGTGACTTGATCCAAAGAGTTGTGAGTTTAATACCTGGCTACAGCTGAGGTGAACAAAAATGAGCAATTAAATCTTTAAATGAGCAATTATATGCCTTATGATTTGAACCAGCATGTTCATCTTAGTTTTAATATTCATCTTAGCTGTTTTATTAATGAAATTTCTACTGTGTATCTCTTAGCTTAGTGGATTACAGCATTGGCTAAAATCTATCTTGAGTTCCTTAGTTCAACCCCAGTTGGTGCTGAAATGTTATATATTCCAACTCAGTGAAGGAAACGGTTGTATGATAACAAAAGTGAATTAAACCAATATCACCTAGATAGGTGGTTTTGGATAACTTGGTGAATATTAACTGATATGAGTTATCTCCCCCTAACATTAAAAGAGAATGACAAAAAAATCTAACCTGTGAATTGAATAAAGGGATCAGGTTCAATATGCCAATAAAATTATCAAGTACAATGACAAACACCTGAAGAGTGCCGGAGGATGCAGCGACCGAAATGTTATAAATGTGACAGCCAATCATGCTGGTCAGGATAACATGTTTGTCAAGCATTCAAATTCACTGGAACATGTGCAATAGTGTTGATATTAACATTTATTAAATTTATCTTAATTTGACTCCAGGTGACAACAGAAGGGCACTCAATGGGAAATGAATTCAGTAATCTGTGGGGAAATGCCGATCAATCACATGTTTTCAGTGTGTACATACATATTAAAACAAATTCAAACATCCTATGCAAGGGAGGTAACTGACAAATTTCTAGTGTTTGAATATTCTCCCTTTTTCTACATGTATCTTCATTTTATTTAAAATTTGTGCAATTTGAAACATTTATTTAAAAGTAAAAATTGGAAATGGAGATTTCACCAGATTCATTCTTATTTTTCAAAAAGTGTTTTTTTTCTCTTTGATTTGTGTAAAGGTTTTTGTTTTTGGTATGGATGTTCAAAAAGAACATAATTTTGATATCTTGCTTTGACTGACTGCTATTCAATATCGGAAGAGCGTTATGAATTAATCTAATTTTATGTCTCCCGCTCAGTCAGTTTTTGTGTCTTGAAAGCACTATTTACCAATCCATTGGTGCAGGTATAGTGACCTTAAGTAGCTCTTAAAAATAATAGCAGTAGCAGCTCTAAAATTAAATTCATATCAGCAGCAGCAGCACTAGAATATAAAAAATGTGAACCCTAAAGTAAACCTCTTCTTCCAGGTTCCCTCTTTCAAACTGCTGACATGAACTTTCCACACTGAAGCTACAAGGGCTGTGAATGTTTTTCACTAAAACACACCAACAAAGTAAGTTCCCACTATAAATATTAATGAACATTTTGTTGTGTACACAATTTACATCTAACAAAAGAAACTCGTTTTAAACTTTACTTTTAATTTTGTTTTAATAAATGTTATCTTGCATTGCAAATCAATTGTTCTGTTATTTTGTGCATATACTCTTTACACTACCATTATCCCATGTGCTATATTCCTGTCAGAAACCTTACGCATTTAATTATTGAAGTAGCTAACCACTAAACAACTATTTCTTTTTTTTTTGTTTTTTGCGTATCTTTTTTCCTCCTTTTATTTACATTTTTGTACAGAAGAATAACCAATACTTCTTAGATTAAGCAAAGTAATATAAATGCCTACACATCCAAATATATATCTTTAAGTGTTTCAGGGTATAGTTAGCACATGTGCATGTGTGTGTCTTTAATCGGTATCACCCCATGCAAGGCAGAAAAGCCACTAAGACACAAGGGGTTACTGGGTGTGGAAGAATTAAGAACAGAAACATTAATAATGAGTGAGAAGAGAAAAGAGTAATCAGGAGGACAGTAGATAATGATTGACATTGCATTTAAATTTTTGGAGGTTAAAGTTGGCTGGAAAGCATGGAGCCAGAAAGGATTTCCACAAGTGAGAAAAGAAACTGTTAGCATAGAATTCATGGTTACATTGAGCCAGTTTGACTGTGAATTGACGTGACCTTGATATCTGTCTAGTACTGCACTTAAATTAAAAAAGTCGAGGTACCATAGCAAAGTGTTAGATTAAGTTAATTGTGTAAATTTGTCACTTTGTTTCTCTTGATAATTTATTGATTAA